ATTTTCAAGTTGTCATGCACATGGTATCATTTTTTCAAACTTTTAATTGAATTTTTTGTAGACTTTACATCACACATTCTGATCCCATTCATCTCCTCATCCCCCTCACTTCTGCCCTTTGCCCTTACAACCTGCACTCCAAAACAAAATTTAAGTTTTAAAAAAAACCAAACCAAATAAACAAGACTAAATTAAAAACAAATCTTGGTGTGGAAGCTGTAGTGTAGCCCAGTGAGCCACACAGAATGCCCTTTAGTCCATGCATCTTTGCTTGTGAGCTTCATTGCAATGAGCCAATGGTCTGGTTTCAGGCCCTCACTAGGATTCCTCTTGCACATCCTGTTGCTGACTTTTGTCATGGAGATCCTGAAACTTTGGATCTGCAGGTCAGGCCCCTTCACATGTTCCAGCAGTGCACAAATGAGGTAGATCTTGCAATGAACTACCTTGGGGCCCTGTCTTTGAGCCTGGGTGGTGGCTGGGTTGGTCAGTTCACTAGCTTACCCTCATTGCTTTCACAATGCAGCACACAAACAAGGAGTGGGATCCAGTTCTCCTGTTCTCAGGTCCTGGGCTCCAGGTCATTCACTCACTGCCAGGGCTAGCTCTACTGTTTTGTCCAGGAGAGTTGCAGGGCCTGCTCTCCCAATTGCTGCAGGGCCTGCTCTCCCAAGAGCTGTAGGACCAGTTCTTCCATTTTTATGCCCTCCGTGGCCAGTTCTCCTGCCTGCCACAAGTGGTAAGGGATGGGGGCAGTCATATTTCCCTAACCTTGCCACCCTATGGCATATGAGGGAGGAAGTAGGGGCAGTTCTTCTCTCCTGTCCATGGGCCCTGCTAACAAGATCAGCTCTAGTGTGCTGCCCATGTGAGGCTCAGGGCCCTCTCTCCCATGTGTTGCAGCTGGTAAGGGCAGGAAGAACGCTCCCACTCTGGTGACCTCAGGGCCAGCTCTCTCACAAAGAACCATTTTACTGAGGTCATCAAACTCTCTGTAATTACCACATTTACAAAACCTTTTACCTCTGTACCTAAATGCAAATATTCATAGAAAAACCTGTTAATTCTGTAACATCTTCAGGCATTAGCCAAATGCTGCAACTGGTTCCTAAATCACTCAGGTATCAAGTATGCATGGTTTAAGTCCCTTCTCCTATACCAATGAAGAGCCATAGATTATTCCAGTAATCGGGGAGTGTAGTTTTCCCCAAAGTTCTCAGGAAGCTGACATGTATGTGCTCATGATGGAAGGAAAAATACAGAGCCTGAAACTGATGATTTCTGACCTGAGTCAAAAGAGCTCAGAATTGGGTAGAATGTGGGGAAAAAAGGCAAGCAATAACAAAAATTTAAAGATAAACAAACAGCATTATTAAGAGATATTGCTCATTGAATTAAAAGCACTGACCCAAAATGGGAAAACTAAGACAAACATAGAAAAAAGCAGAGATTTTATAGTTGCATGAAAGAAAGGTGAATTACCTAGTAAATACAGGTTTGTATATACTTTGCAAAGTTCAACCACATATGTGTCAATGCTGGCTCTGTGATTACTCTATGGTTGTAGCAATATTTTAGCACTCTGAAGTTTATCTTTACTTTCTCTACTACTGCCCAAGTCTTAGCTCACTGAAACCTCAGACCAGCCTGGGGGCCAGATGGATGTGAAAGTGAAGATAATGGCCTTTCACTTGTGAAAGAGTTTAAAGACTGTTGAAGTTGGTGATAATGGCTTATAGAAATTGTGTGTAATGTTGCATTAACTGGTAATTATCATCAGTATTAAACTCACAGCCAAACACTCAGGGTGCACTCTATGGGGCACAGTAACTGCATTAAGGGCATCACCTGTGTCCTCTAGGAGCATGCCTAGTAACTCCAAACGCAGAGACTTTAACACTCAGGACATAGGGAAAAACTGGAGTGTATTATGCAGCCTAGAACCATGCAGTTTAGAAATGAGGAGAAATGGCTAAACATAACTTTTGAAACTGTCTTAAAACATATAAGCGGCTTTTCAAGTCTAAAAACAAGCAAGCAAGAAATACAAGAGAAATCCATCAAGAATATTAACTGAAAAATACCCTATATTGCTAAGCCCTTATTTAAAACATCCAAAAGATTTTTAAGAAGCTTGTTTCCTCATCCTGAACAGTAATGATCAGACTGACATTTCTAGTTTTGGCAAGCCATCAGCATTGAGAGACGGAGAGAGGTCAGATCTGACTATATCTTCAGTGTGTTTTTTGAGTATTCTGGTCCCTGCCTCTCCCTCTGTTTGTTGTGCTCCCAGATCTATGATTAACACCCATGCATTAGCACAACTCTGCATTGTAAGCAAGGCCAGAGCTCCTTCCCAGTGAGGCTGAGGGATGGGGTTAATGAGAAGTGAGGCTGGGGATGAATGAACAGGAACATGCCAGTGCTGAAGTAATTGAGCATGAATATCAAACACTAAGTCAGGAATGGTCTTCACTTGCAGAGGGAAGGACTGATCAGCTGGTGGGCAGATGGGGCTTGCATAAACCTGCATTCCGGCCAATCCCAGAGTTGCATTCACAATAGTCTTGGTTCCCTTATGCCATTTCTAAATTCCTTTCTCTTTCACCCCCCTTTCCTTGTCTTCCTTTTTTGCCTTTCATTCCTAAAACATTTATTATTATATTTTGAGAAATTTATACATGAGTCCTGTTTTTACATTATTTCCTCCCCACAGTCTCCCCTACTCTAGCTCTGTCTTCCGTATTCCATCACTCTTCTTCTTTAAATATGAGTGTGCATATGCACGCGCGCACACACACACAAGTGCGCGGTGTGTGTGGTGGCTACCATCAGGGGCCTTGTCCTAAGAGAAGATTGATTCCACTCTTTAAATTGTTTTTGAGATTTTATTCTTTTTTAATTCAGAGATATGAATGTTTGTACAAATGTTTGTTTGTGCAAGGGCACGCTGGAACTGGAGTCACAGACCTTGTGACCTCCCACGTAGCATGCTGGGTATTAAGCTGGTCCTCCAGAAGAGTAGGCAGTGCTCTTAACTACTGTGCCATTTCTCTGCCCCCCCCCCCCCCCGCCACTTTTAGTAGTCATTGCTTGCCTGTAGCTATTCAGCTACTATTTCCTGTGCATTAAAAAATTATCTAATCTCTCCCCAGCCTTAAAAGAAATTTACTTTATGATCACAGTCACTGCAGTTTCTTTAAAAGAAAAAACGTGTGATTTGACTGTACCAGTTAAGAATAATACATATTAGTACTATGACTTGTCCTTTAAAATATCTGTATTGAATTCTAAAACTTGTGGAATGTTTCTTTAATCAGTAACTACTGTAATTCATTACTGTGTGATTCCATCATCCCCAGTTAGACCTTTTATATGGTTTTTAAGTGTCAAGAATCTTAAAAAAATTTGCAATAACAGTGAAGAAGAGTAGTTATTACTAATCTCATAGTAGTTTTGTTCAGAACAAAAAACTCCAAATATTATAAAAAACTTTGATTCTGAAATTCAAGGAATACACAATTACGCACATTTATAAAAACATTTCTAGCAGTGTGTTCCAAAGTCCCTCTGTCTTTGTAATGTCTGGTTGTAGGTCTTTGTACCTGTTCCTATCAGCTGACGGCTAAAGCTTCTTTGATGATGGCTGAATAAGACATTGATCAAATCATTTTATATTTAGCTTATTTTTCCCCTCAGACCCTAGTCTCTGGACTGACTAATCTCTTGTTTTGCTCACCCAAGCAGGATCAGGTATAGGTTCCATCTCATGGAATAGGCCTTCAGTCAAATCAGACATTGGTTGGTTATTCTCTCAAGCTTGGGCACCACCACTGTGCTAATACATTTGCAGGCAGGACAGATTTATCTTTCCTGGTCTGGGTTATAAATGTGTTGTTTCCATCAAACCTGTACCTTCAGTACTCCGGGTTCCCCATAGAAGAGCAGGCATAAAGACTATCTGAGCCAGAGCAAAAGGATGTTTTCAGGAGAACAAGGACCAATGAATCAATTAAAGAAAGCTCATATGAACTCAGACAGACTGAAGCAACAAGGACAGATTATACTTGGGTCTGCACTAATTTCTCTGCATATATATTTCAGCTTTCATTTTTTTTCTTTTTTACAGAACTTCTGAGTGTGTGTCAGAGAGTCTTTGATTATTAAGCCTTCTATTTGTGCTTTTTAAAAAAATTCTGTAGGTTTGCCTTGTCCAACTTCAATGTGATGGCTTTTGTTTTATCTTATTATATTTTTATTTTGTTATTTTTGGTTGTTATCTCTTGGAAGTCTTTTTTTTTTTCTAAAGAGATAAAAAAGGAATGGANTATATTTTTATTTTGCTATTTTTGGTTGTTATCTCTTGGAAGTCTTTTTTTTTTCCTAAAGAGATAAAAAAGGAATGGACCCTGACAGCAGGGGTACTGGGATGAATAGAGGGACAGGAAACTGTAATTAGAAAATGTTTAATAATAAAAGAATATATTTCAAATAAAAGGAGAAAATATAAAACAATAAAAGTTAAAAACAAAAAGTTAAATATAATAAAACATGAAAAAATTATAAAAAAAACATTTCTAAAAACATTTTCATAAGTTTACATTGAGAGAAAATAGACACAGCTTAAATACATTCATTGGGAATTGGTTAAGAAAAATAATAATACAACACATTTGTTAAATAAGATAAAATATTTTTGAAAACATATAATAACTAATGAGAGTATAAACAGCAATAGGTTATTAACATGACTAGTAAACTATAAACATACTGAATATGCTTGAAGTGTTGATTAATACATATTTAATGATGTTAGAACTTCTAATACTATGTTTCTATTTGTCAACTATAAACTTCCTATTTTTATATATATTAACAATTCTACAGCAAAAAATATGAAAATAAGCAAAGATTTTTCAATCCATATTCACCATCCAAGACCGTCATGTGAGAGCAATGGCAGAAGCTAAGGCTTGAGTATGAAAGTGAGTGTGCTTTACCTTCTCAGTGTAGAACTCTCTGACTTCAGGCCTAATAGAATCAAAGTCCCCATTGATGAATTCAGGCAAAAAGCTGAAAGAAACAGTTTCATGTAAGTTAACTAGACCAATCCATTCATTTGTGAGCTTTTAAACTACAGTTCTAAGGACCAGAGGAAAAATTAAGATACTTGAAACAAGAGGAAACATGAACAGTTTTCAGAGTAGATGGAAAGTCCTATCACACACTCCTGGCGTCAGGACAGTGGAGACCGACAACCACAAGCTCAAGTTGAACCATCAGCATTTATTGTTTCAAACAAATAAGTACTGAAGAAGGCAACTGTTTAAAAAATTCAACTAAAAACATACTTTTCCCCCTTTTCTAGTAACTTCTCACTGTACATAGATCTTTATGTCATTTAACTCTTAAATAAACTTGGAGATTTCAAGGGATTTGAACAGAATGGATCTATGATGAAGTTGAGCTGACACTTTCCAAATACTTAATGACATATTTCTAAAAATAAGAGTCTTAAAATAATCATATAAAGACCATTTTTCTTTTCTTTTCCTCTCTTTCTTTCTTTCTTTCCTCCCTCCCTCCCTCCCTCCCTCCCT